AGGGCGACACTGCTGCTGGCATCCTGCTGTGGCTTGTGGAGGGGCAGGCTGTGCTGCAGGGATTCCACCAGGAACGAGGTGTTGAGGGTCTTCTCCAGCCACACCAGTGGCAACATCCAGGACACAGCCCCCAGGGTGGATTCAGGTGATGTGACAGAGGTGACAATGGCTTCTGACCCAGYAGGCTCCAACCCATTTGCCTCAATGGGAGGGAGGCCAGCTGGGCTCTGCTCTGGGGGGACAGGGGCAGGAGACTCTGCTCCCTCAGRGGTGCCTTGGCAAGGCAGAGGACCAGCACTCCCATCTGCAGATGGGGGCTCAGAGACCACAGGGCTGCAGGAAAAGTCTGGAGGTGCTGCTCGCCACCCATGGAAAGGAGCTTTCTGCGGGGTGGAGCTGGTGCCAGGGGGCCCTGGGGTGCAGGAGGCTGTGCTGGCATTGCCAGGGGATGCAGAGCTGCAGCGGGGGAGAGCAGAGCTGCCTGGGGAGTTTGGGTTGCAGGACACAGAGCTGATGATGTTRGGGAGCCCTGGGGTGGTGCTGCCAGGGGACTGAGGGGTGCTGGGCACTGGGGTGGAGCTGCACAGGGAGACCGGCATGGTGTTCTCAGGGCACTCTGGGGTGCTGGATCCTAGGATGGAGCTGCACACGGGCACTGGAATGAGGCTGCTGGAGGGCCCTGGGGTGCTGGGCACTGGGTTGGAGCTGCACAAGGAGACTGGCATGGTGCTGCTGGAGGGCTCTGAGATGGAGCTGCACAGGGAGACTGGCACAGTGTTCTCAAGGCACTCTGGGGTGCTGGGCATTGGGATGGAGCTGCCCAAGGCGACTGGCACGGTGCTGCTGGGGGGCTCTGGGGTGCTAGGCATTGGGATGGAGCTGCACAGGGAGGTTGGTATGGTGCTGCTGGAGGGCTCTGGGGTGCTGGACACTGGGATGGAGCTGCACAGGGAGGTTGGTATGGTGCTGCTGGGGGGCTCTGAGGTGCTGGGCTTTGGAATGGAGCTGCCCAAGATGACTGGCACAGTGCTGCTGGGGAGCTCCGGGATGCTGGGCCGTGGAATGGAGCTGCACACAGAGGCTGGCACAGTGCTGCTGGAGGGCTCTGCGGTGCTGGGCATTGGGATGGAGCTGCATAGGGAGGTTGGTATGGTGCTGTTGGGGAGCTCCGGGATGCTGAGCACTGGGATGGAGCTGCACACAGAGGCTGGCACGGTGTTTTCAGGGAGCTCCGGGATGCTGGACACTGGGATAGGACTGCTAGGGGCCTCTGGGCTGATGCTGCTGGGGGTCTCCAGGGCAGCAGGCATAAGGGTGGGATTGCTGGGGGCCTCAGAGCCACCCTCCTTAAGGATGGGAGTCTCGAGGAGCTCTGAGGTCCTGGTGGGCTCCAAAGCGGTGCTGCTGGGGGGCCCTGGGGTGCAAGGCATTGGGGTGGTGCTGCTGGGGGGGCCCAGGGTGGCACTCCGGGGGGGTCCTGGGGTGAAAGGCACTGCGGTGACGCTGCTGCGGGGTCCCCGGGCACAGGACACTGGGGTGGCGCAGTCATGGTCCTACAGGACATTTTAGGGGAAAAGGGGAGTCAGGGCAGTCCTGCCCTTTCCCCTTGCACCCCGCAGCCGTTTGCYGCAGTCTCCCCATTTCCCCCACTCCAGTAAATACTCCCGTCCTCCCAGTACAACCTAACCCCCCAACACTCCCCGTTCGTTACACCGCAGCCTCTCCCGTTGCCCGCCCCGCTCGTTGTGCCCCGCACACCGACCTTGAGCCGCAGCCGGCGGAGCAGCGGGGTCAGGCTGGTCCGGTCAGACCCCGGTTGAAGCTGCAGCTCCTGCAGGGGGGTGCGCCGGGGCCGCTTCTGCGCCTGGGGGGCACCGGGGGGGGAAGGGGTCAGCGGCGGCAGCACCGGCAGCTCCCCACCCACACACACACACACACACACAGAAATACCGGGAGCACCGGACCCGCCGCCCCACAGGAACATCCAAACCGAACCCCAGCCCCGCACTCACGGCGGGGGTCTTGGCGCGCTGCATGGTCCGGGAATGGGCCCGGCCCTGCTCCCGGTCTTTATCTGGGTCTCGACTCCGGCTGCGGTCGGTCTCGGGCCCGCTCCCGGTTGGTCTCGGCCTTGTTCTAGGCCCGCTCTCGGTGTCCGGTCCGGCCCCGCCTCCGCCCGCGCGCCGCCGGTTTGAAAATCACGGACGGCTCTGATTGGCTGCGCCGCGCGCGCGCCACCCCGCGAGAGGACAGCGGGGCGGGGCCACGCCCGGCGGTGGGCGGGGAAATGGGCGTGGCTTCGTTCGCTGGACACGCCCACACCGCGCTGCGCAGCGCCCGGGCAACGGACCGGAGCGATGGACGGAYGGACAGATGGACAGATGGACGGAGGGACCCAGCTCCCCCCGATCTTGGGGCTCCCCAGCGCCTGCCCCGGGGAAATCACCCCCACACACCCCCCCAGACCTGCCCCAACCGCGCTCCGATGGAGGGGGCTCCAGCCCCGCGCTCCCGCCCCGGTGGTCCCGCTTTCCCCACCCAACCATGAGTTCAGGGCAGCACCCGCAGCAGTGCCCGCGGCTCTCGGGTTTATTGCTCCCGCGGGGAGAGGTACAGAGTTGAGGTACCCGGGGATGAGATTGGGGGGTACCCGGGTGACCCCTTGGGGGACCCGGCCCAGCAGGGTCCGACCCGCTGCCGGGGTAGGGGGATGTCCCTGAGCGATGCCGAGGGTCCCAGCCACGGTGGCTCAGCCAGGCCAGGGCCGGTCCGGGGGCTCGGCAAGGTCGTAGTCGAAGTCGGCGAAGGTGGCGGGGTCGGGTGGGGGCTGCTCGGGGGGTCGCGGGGCCACTGCCACCACCACCGGGTCCTTCTGCAGCAGGTCAGCGTCGAAGGCCACCCCGCGGAAGAAGGGGTGACCCTTGAAGTGGTGGAGGTAGCGCAGGCGGTACAGGGGGTTGTGGCACAGCAGCTGCAAACACAGAGAGGACAGTGAGAATGGAAACCCCAGCATCCAGCCCAGGGGCCAGWGGGGACCCCAAAATCCAGGCAGGAGGGTTACCTCGGCGAGCAGCCGGGCCAGCTCAGGGCTGAACTCAGGTGGGCTCTCRTAGCTGCTCTGTTTGACACGTTCCAGCATGGCCACATGGTCTYCTGCCGGCGCCACAGGGAACTGGGGGGACACAAATGAGTTCAGGGTCTCTCTGTGATGCCTCTGTGTCCCCACCCTATGGTGTCCCTGTCCCCCCAACCTTTGGTGTGTCCCTGTCACCCCACCCTCTGTTGTCCCTGTCCCCCAACCTTTGGTGTCTCTCTCCCCCCACCCTGTGGTCCTTACCTCCCCACTGGCCAGGGCAAAGAGCAGGACTCCCAGGGACCACCAGTCGGCTGCGTGGCTGTAGGGCCCCCCACTCAGCACTTCTGGGGCTGTGGGGAGAGTGGGTGAGCACCTGGGGGTCTGTGCCCCCCRSCASAGCCCCCCC